TTATGGTCTTGTTTAGGCACAACATAAAACATGACCAATAAAAAAAAAAAAAAAAAAAGCACGACGCAAATACACATATATTTATTTTAGTTGTTGTTTTTCTACCATCAAAATAGAGACACACAGAGGAATAGAACAAGAACAGCAGCAGGCAGTTAACGAGTAAGAACAACTATAATTGGTACTACAAGTGCTTCTTCCCTTAAGTCGCGCTTCTTGCATAATATGGGCATAAGTTCTGGCATTCATGTCCGGTGTTTTTCCTCCTGCAATATACACACAGCCACATGATCAGTAGTGAACTACCAAGGTTAAAGGAAAACCTAAATTTCTAACTCTGATGCCCTAAATGTGAATGTGTAATGAAGAGAATTTACTTAATAAAATATTACCCAAAAAGAAAAAGACTAAATTATACTAGTAATCTCTTTGCAAAAATTTTGGAAATGAAGATACTAATGTATTAACCCCCAACACCATGACACACAAACCAAGACAGACAGCTATGACAGGTGTTGCTTATTCCAGACACAGTATAGAGGTTGTGTACAGCACTGAACTGATAACACTCAGGTCCACCCACAGTCTAGTAAAATAAAATGTTTTGACCAACATCCCAACTGGGCCAGAACCTGAATCATCACAAATGATCAACTTCTCAAGACATACAGCCAGTTGATAATCATTCTAAGGTGATAAACATGGACGTTTGCTACCTCCAACATGAGATACTTATGGTTGAAGAGTATCCCCTATCCCCCATGGGTGTTGAGCCACAATGTGCAGGTCATGCCAGAAAGCAATCTATGTACGGTATGTACAGTTTGGTGGCAAAAAAAACAACATGTTACAAGTGCAGTACAAGTATGTGAGGTGAACATCCTTTGTTTGGCAGTAACTCAAATGGACACATTTCGTAACGGGTATAAGCTATCATAACGTCCGCTAACACAACCAATGACTTGTAACCTCTCCCATGTACTGTAATGTCATGAAGCAATGTACAACCAAGGTACACAAGCTGCTCAAACTGTAGAGTCAGATGACAACACTTAGGCTAATAAAGAGAATACTTATCCTCTGATCATTTCCCAGCTACTTAAATCATACACTCTCTCTTTCATTCCCCCACCTTTCTTTATGGTTATGTAGTGCTTCATCTTCCCTACACAACTGGGAATAAAATATTGGCACCTCCAGATGACTGGTTCCCAATCTATCCTTCAGAGACAGGTGCCAGTTCATGGCTCAAGATGTACCAGTCCGTCGGACTTTTATACACGCCTTTGTTTAGGAATGCATAGTACAGTGGTTCTCAACCTTGTTTGCCCCATGCACCCCTTTCACCATATGTCAGAATGTCATTCTCCTTTCCAAGATTGTCTGCCTCAAAAGTGCATTCCAAATAATATGCATATAATACTGAAAATCCTTTATTTTTTCCATATTAGTATCAGTTCTGAAAACCTGAGGGGGAAATTTCCCTGGTTGAGAACCCTGGCTTAATAAAATATAAATTCCCTGAACTTTGTGATTATAACACAAATATACTGTGCTCACTGATGGTATAAATTAATTCATTATTAATCTCTGGCAACTGTCAGCTGACTTAGTGATATGTTGAGTAAATATTACCTAACATTTGACTTCACTTCTACCAATGTTTCTCTCATTGCTTCACATAATTTTTCTTGTGGGATGAACTAAACAACCAACACTCTACACCCACCTGACCTCTCTATACTGTGTCACTGTACTGTATATATTAATACATAACAAATTAAGGATCAGCCAAATTTGCATTATGAAGTGCAAGCTTTACCACAAACTTCTTAATGGAGATACAGTTAGCAAGTGAAGTGCCTACAATAGTGTGCAGCTGAGGGGGTTAATGGAAGTCATGTCAATTTCCTAAAGAACTTGTAACTTACACTATAAAATCTTGTGGACTAAATGCAGATAAAATTGTACACCTGAGTCCATGTTCTCAAAGGTAATAAAATGACAAAAACACATAAAACTGCAAAACCTAAAATATATTAACAATATAGAGGATGAAGATGACTGCTGTCATTACATAATTCTTAAACATTCATAAATTAGTAATGATATAAACAATCCTTTTACAGGATTAATATATGGCACAATATTGCACTCAAGTGAACTGTATCAATCTTTAGTATATATATATATATATATAAATATATACGGTAAATATATATCTATGCACATGGACCCAGGGCATGGGCGCCATAATGACGTGGTAGTGCCGGAGATTACTCTAGCTGCCGCACCCTTATGTCAAGGAGGAAGAAACCCTAGAAATAATCTCTGTGATTAGTGGCTTTCTGTAGTACCTTTCACACAACACACACACATAATGAAACAGGCCCCCCCATTTTCTGATCCTTCTTAGTCTTGTCATAACCCTGTTTACTCCTTTCACCGTCTCCGATGCTTTACCTGGGAGCCTCGCTCTTTTTATTTCTATCCTTCTTTTCAACTTCTACCATCTTTTTCTACTAATTTTTCTCATCATTTAAGAACAGTCAGCCCCACAATAACCCAAAACTTCAGCAGCTGCAGCCACCACTATGACACAAACTGGTGACCAAATGCCAGTCATTACTACACAGTACTGTCGTGATTACCTTGTGATACACCTTATGATGTGCATGTATCCAAAAAACTGAGTATACTGAACAATAGATAACACTGAAGTGATTCTACATGGGGTTACTGAGGGTCGCTGTGCCAGTATTCCTTCACTTATTTTCTGTTATCACATGGAGTTAAATCCTACCTATCATCAAATTCACATTACCCAATAACTACATTTCAATACTACATAAATAACCTGACTTCCAAAGTTTACCATCAACTTCCATCTGACAAATAATACTTAACACACTACAATTCAAATGTTCCAAGATTAAACTTCACTAATATCCAGCATATCTATAAACATACAGTATAGATGTATACATACTTTACATGCATGTATGGATGTTCATTATTTGTATGACTGTGTGCATAGTAAATACAATGCACAATGTCTACATGAATTGTGTGAATAAATCTAATTCTTGGAGGTGATTTTTTCTGTTGACAAATAATAAGATTTACAGTATATATATCGCATACTATTGTTTAGCCTGGTGAATCACCATTATAACTCTGTTGCTTGTATTCCTCATGTCAATATCCTACATACATGGATGACATGGTTTATGCACTACATATTGTTTTTACTCTTGCTAACTTACAAAATGTTTATAATTCTTGCACTAATAAGTTAAACTTGCATGTTTATATTCAGCGAAGTATTTGTTTTCACACAATTCACATTTGTGTACTGTATATATTTTTCCAGGATTAAAATAGTATTCAAGAGTTGAGTCATTCTAGTGTTGTGTGCTGTGAGGTGGGCACCACGCCTCTTGACTACTAACCCTTCCTACCCAAGTGGTGTCAACCCATACACTACTATGTGAGTCAGATGTTACCATAACTTTTCATGACACATCTATCCCATCCATATTTGTTTACCATGTACTGTACTGTATATAGATACATAAATGGACCAAACACTATCAAAAATTCTGTCTTTCAAATTAATCTCAGCCTCCTATCACATTTCACCCCTTTCCCCCTTTACAGAGTTAACCTTGCACATACAGTACTCCAGGACCCTTTATCAAACAGATTTTTATTAAATAACTAACAATATGTCATTCCCAATGTAATGGGTGAATGTAGTGCACCAAGTCAGGTAAAGTGATAATATACTATGTGGTCATGATCTTAGTGGTGAGGCCTTCAGGTGATGCCAACAGTGAACCTTGTTATGGAAGCTAGACAACTTCACCTAATAAATCTATCAAGGCCTAACTCTCTGCACCTTTAAATGTAGTTCTCAGCGATACTATTTTTCTTAGCTGTAGTTTATTCATTCAGCTTGTCAACAACCAGGATATTAATCGTTGGTCACTACGCTCCAATAAAACTAACATCTTTTAAAATTTCAATATCGAATTTATAAGCTTATTTTCTAATGAACTCACATATCATATACTGACAATCTTTCTGAAAACTACTAATTAATATGTTTATGTCAACTATTATTTATGAGTGAATGAAAAGCATACATGCATACACAAGTCACCATACAAAAGTACAGTATATAGAGATACTTGGACAGTTTTGTTTTCAAGATACTGTAATGGCAACAATACTGCCAGCTAAAGACTTTGCTAACCCTTTAAAAATTAAGATAAGTACTGTATTAGAGTTAAGTGTTTGATAAATTTGAAGTAGAGTTGTAACAATTCCAAATGTTCAAGTTTAAAACATCACCATAATCCTAAGTTAATATTGACCTTATCAGTACAACCTAAAACTAGATCCTATGAAATGTACTCCTGTAACTAATGAGTTTGAGAGGCTCATGATCATGACTCTGGATGAAACTTCACAGGAGGCAGCAGGTAGGTACACTGCAGGGGGAAGAAAACAGATTGTAAATTAGTAGAGGTGGTGATTCCTGGCCGGTGGTCCCGAGCAGTAGTGGATGGGCCTTTGTGGTCTTCCTGATACTGTACTCTTATACCATTATTGGCCCCATTTCTTATAATGACCTTTTACAGTAACATGTATCAAAGTTGATACTAGATATGTAAAAAAATAACACTAATGAAAACATCTCAGAATTTAAGTAAATTTTTGTTTCTCCATATGAAATACAAAATGTGCATTCATACATCCAGACATACACCAATGCAAGGCCAGCCTCAGTATCTCATCAAAATCTAATTTAAAATCTAAAGTATTAGGCTACAATAACCAGTTTGAGAGTGCGTGTGGTTTTTGACAGCTGACCAAGCACTGCACACAGCCACATGAGAAAGCAACACACTCAAGAGATGACAGGCCATAGCCTTCATCAACCTAACATGAGTATTTTACAAAGCCAGAGTGGCAAGGTGCGCCACCACTCACTGGCCAGCGAACGGATCCATTCGCCAGGGATATGACCTGCATGATGCGACGGGCACGATATTCATCTTCCGATCAGCAATGGTGGGCCTCTTGTACTAGCCATGGGGTCATGGTCTTTGTCAACCTGTAATATTATATACCACATAAACAAACTACAAATTACCATGACTGCTCGACTAATTCTGTCTACACTAAGAAATGAAAGCGTGCAAGATGGACGTTTGACCACCTTTCTTTTACTATAAACCCACAAAACTCTAATGATCCTAAATAAAATGTGGTGATAAATCTTTAGGTACACTGCCAGCCATACACATTATCTATTAGTACAGTAATCACTATGTAGGTAGAAGATGTTTCACTCATCAAAGAAAACTAAGAACATAGAGTGCGGCTGTTTCTATATTACTCATAACTTGTAGCTAACACATTTCACTATAAGAATAAGACATTGAAATAAAACTGATAAAAATATGTTACCCACCAGCATGTGAAGAAAGAGGGGAAGAGGAAACACATTTTGAAACACCCAAGATACAGGAGGTCCAGCAAAAGTTTAAAAGCTCCTTACACAACCCTACCAATTAAATGGATGTCAATGAGTATGTACTAAAAACGATGAACCTAAATAGTTGCCTAGATACCAGAACTTGAGAAGAACTTAACCAACAGTGTAGACTATTTTTCCTATCATGGGTCTGAAAATTACAAATGAGAACAAGGTGAAAGAAAAACTGCAGTATTACAAGAGGGTTTCAGCACTAAACTTCAATATACAGTGTAACCCACATCTAAAAGGTCAACTGTATAAGAAAAGGGTCCATAGATGTTAGTTTTCATGGATGGTGAATTTCATGACATAAACTGACTTAACCCATTGAGATTTCAGGTAAATTACAATATAACATTCAGTAACCATTGAAGCTTACATATTACTTTATGAAACAATGTAACATTTCTTCTTGTTCCTTTGTCTTGTTATGGTGCTTGAATTAGCATATAAAACACATCTTCCTCAATCGTTACTCAAATCTAATAATTATCCTTCCTGTGATGTAAATTCTAAGTTAAAGAGAAAAAAATTATAAACCAAATTCCTAATAATAAAATTTGTCCAGAAACAACTTTGTATTACCCAGTACACACACCACACAGTCCGCTTGTAGCTGCTTCATACATTGTTCATGGAACGGTGGATAGTTTGTAGATTAACAACCAAACCCAACACAAGCTGATAAATATACAGTATACCATCATTATTTAGTGAACGGAAAAGTCAGAAACATTTTCACCAAGTACAGTGCAGCACCAGTATTTCTCTGGTTACTTACCATTTCATTGAGGAAGAGTTGAGGAGCGTGTATGCATTACTCCCCTTCTTCCCAAGGTGGTCCCCCCGTCATCATCCTCATCCTAAGTGACAAGTACACAACAAACCTAAATCTCTTCAAAATTCAATTAAATATTTATATATTCCAAAACATAAACTTTATAGGATTAATGCATAAATATTATGTCTCATTATATTACCTTGAATCACAAGATTTATTCTATGTTAAATAGATAAAACGTTTTCACTTATGTTTATACAAAATAATGAAAGAAAGGATTATTGATGAACTATTTTCACACAAAACATACACCAGAGCTTTACAGGTTCTCTGAGTCATTAACAATACACTTGTACAAATAAAAGAATTAAGTCTGTATAAAATTACTGTACAATACTCACATCCAGGTCATCCACACCAATGGACTGAACAGATATTTGTTCCCATTGAATATCATAAATATCACTGTCAAAGTATCCTCCTCCGTCCAGCCTCACTCGCTCCTCATCCTTGGAGAGACCGCCTGGTGGTGGTGGCACTCAGACAAGTTGGTTTTCTGTTCTGAATATCTTGAATGTGAGCTTCTACATCTGGAAAATAATAAATAATAAATAAATAAATAAATATATAAATCCAATGGTAGCTTGTTAGTCACCCCAACACAACAATACTAGCAAGGTTTGCAGTGGACTACTGCACTATCTTGCCATCGCCACCTCCTGCCAACCTCACAGTCCGCCACTACAACAAAATTCAGCCCATAAGAGCCCGCACTCGATAGATATAAGAATAGCACCATCCCATCTATTGTTAAAATAATAAACAACTCCTGATTTATGTACTGTACAGCTCTGTAAATCTATTGAATGCATATCATTATGCCTAAATCACATGTAAGTTTGAATATTTTCATCCACAGCTGCAACTCTATTAATAAACCGTTTATTATAATTATTACAATACACACTACACTACAAATAAAATATATGGTAATAAATTTCAGAAGACATAATTACAAACTAAATTAAGCATCAAATTTAGACCAAATATTAGTAACTAACCGCTACAAATAAAATCCACTTAAATAGAGTTTACCTGTTACAATCTTGTCTCTATTGTTAATTAACTTTGCCAAGGACGTTCTTTGTCAATAATATCATAGGCAAAAATCTTATAGGACCCAATATAGTACCAACAGAGGCTATAGTACTGCTCCTCCACTGTCACTCTCAAGGCTAATCAAACGAGTTATCTCAGGACCATTAATCTTTGGGGTAAGAGAGTCCGTGTGTGCTGAACTGTATAGCTACTTGCATTGTCTATATACATATGTTGAACTGTATACCTGCACTACCTATAAATATAGGTATGGTGTACAGGTCCTTATATTCATTAATTCAAGTACTGTATACATGCATTGTTTATATAAGGACTAAAGACTTGTTATCTCATCTTCCGCCACCAAACGTCCTTTACAATTTATGAATATCAAGTAAATAAAGATGTTTGGAGCCAAGATATACCTATGACCTCCACGACCAGTCGAGAGACATAGTTCTGTGTGGTTGGCGCCGCGTCCTCCTCCATAACACTTTACTTCCGGTTATGTTTCCTCGTGTTGCTCTCTTCGGCCTCCACTCACTCCATTAATACTCTGTAATATACTACAATTAAATATATGTATCTACAGACCTGAGTTCATCTAAGTGTGATTAATATGACAATCTTACCCTCCGTTGTGAACTTGCGCGTCGCCATTTTGTTTACAATCGACATTCTCCTGATGGTGTGCGCAGGGGCGGCGTCACTCAGCGACCATTAATATAATAACTTTATGCTGACGTTATTATGTTCGCTTCAACAATTAAGGTCTTTCGCCGTGCATCTAGGTTATTTGTTACATGTCCCTATAATAAAATCGTGAGTAACAACTCTTTATTTTACTACTTTTAAGATAATTAACTGCAACCTCAAACGTTTGTAAGAATATTACCTTGCCAAATCAACAACAAATATTTCATACAGTAATAGTTTAACAACAAAATGATCTTGACATTTTAATGCCCAGTCACAATATTTGTTTTATTTCAACATGTTTCGTAATCGAAATGTCAAAATGTGTTGAAAAAAAATTTATCGCTTCCTAAGCCGGCAGGCGATAGTCCAGTGTAACCCGGAACACGACAGGTTATTACAATAATTCCACAACTTTTAATCCAAATTTAAGACGTTAAGCCTGAGTTTTCTGTACAGTACCTGTAGTTTCTACTTTGGGCTGACCTCTAGCGGGCAGCCACCTGCCAACTTCAAATATGTACATTTGACTGAATAGCTGCTTTTCAGGTAGCTATAGACTTCTATTCTGTCATCCCTTTAACCTTCAATAAAATAAATATGTAATTAAAAGTCTATTCTCTTGGTAGACCATCGTCCACGTCCCACCAGTGATGCAAGAGCTAAGTTTCATATCACCATAAACACCCAGATCTTCCTTGCATTTAGTTTGTTGAAGTTCTTTATTCACTTAAAGATGTTATATTCCTCCTTATGACTGATACTGTATGACTAAATGCATACTAATGCATTTTATTTAATGTTGAATCTTTGACCACTCTGACAGGACAGAAATCTTATTTTAATTCTTAGTCCGTTACTTTTTATTTCTCCAAATAAGCTAGAGTACTTGCAAACATTTGTATGGACTAATAGCATCTGGCATCATATTCATTAAACAAATAAATAACATTGGTCTAAGCACAGTAATTGTCACTAGCACACATGACGGATTTGTGCCTGTGATAACCACTCATTTACTGATGGTAGAGAAAGCCTTCTATCCATACTAGGCATTTCCCTATTTCTGTATCCTTCAAAACTAACTTTTGAGTCTTTCTGAGGTACAACACCAAATAATATTTACAGTAATAGTATCAATATCACATTCCAGGATGTCTAGCATAAACTCATTCCTAAGATTGTTTCCTTGTATGCTGTTTGTAACATCATGGCACATCATGGTACAAAGATTTAATATTTGAGTATGATGAAAGCCTTTTGAGTACATTGACAAACACATTAATCACAAAATTTTCCTCAAGTAAGATGATAAGTGTACTGGGGGTCCTAAGTCATCTTACAGTACCATAGTTTACACCTCAAATGAAGTCAACCAAGATGCTCATTCTCCCTGATAACACCACCAATTCCTCAAATCAATTATGTATTTTACAGTCACACATGTACCTTTTACTTAATTACTTCAATGTTCCAAATTTTGAGGAATAAAGGAAGCTGAGAGAGCTGGGAGAAACGTAGCCTATCGTATCGGATTATGAAATACTGTACAAAATAATTAATTTCAATATTATGTGATTTACAAATATGGGCACAATAAAAGGAAAATATTTTTCATTCTAATTGTTACTTTAGATAAATGCTACTCAGTTTCAATGTATTGTGACACTGCACCATCATCTATGTTTCGTCAGATACTCCTTGTTCTGCTTTTATCAAGTTGTATTGAAATCAGGAAATTTAACAGCATGTCTAGTTACTAAGTTACGGGATACATTTGATGTAGGTCTCCTCTCATGCTCAATAAACCATAATATATCTCAGCTCGAAAATACAGTGATTGGTGTTATCAGGTCATGTTGCTCATGGTTATCCAGCAGGTGAATTATTACGATCCTGGAATAATAAAAAGTACAAAATGTACTACAATCTTCAGGTAGATTTATTCTGCAATGGTTACTTCAACATCCACATCAGGTTCAATGTTAATGCTGGTAATCTGCTTCACCACTTCTGATGGGGAGGAGATCAATGACACGCTTTGGATTCTCATCTGAAACGATCCCAAGTCTTGAACCTTCAACGCAGGAGTCTTACGGGTGGTGATGCGCGATGTCTTGGTGGGCATACGGACTGGTCCCTTAACCTTCAACTGCTTGTCCTTTGTTCCCTTCACAAGCTCAGAGCACACTGTTGATACAAGTGCCAAGTATATACTGTATACAGGTATATTATGGAAAAATAAAAGCACACGCTTTCTAAATTAAGAGGCAGTTTTTAATAAACAGTTTCAATTACTGTACAGTATAATATTCAATGAGCCATTTATAAATACATACACCATCTGTCATCTTAGATTAAAATAAATAGTATTTTCAAGTCTATACAATAAATATATAAAAATCACTGCCCTCATAGAAAATAAGTTACCAGCTAACAAACTTTCCATTATAGCACATAGAGTAATGTGAATTACATTAAACTACACCACAGTACACAAAATAATTCTAAACTATTGTTTCTAATAAACAATATCATGAAAACTTTTGTAACTGTTGCTTATATTACCAGTCCAATGGTTCTGCATTTTGAGGAGCCAAAGGTATATTGGGCATACAATATTTAGCACAGAATATGCCCAGTTATTATTTTTTTGGACGATACATAAATTAATAAGAGTAAATGACTGTTGCACGACATCCCACACAGAGACCAAGGGTGCGGTGACCGAGGAAGGTTCAGAACCCCTGCACTATTCAGGTGGTTCTGCTCCACACTCATGGTTAACTTTAATGCACCTGACCACAGATTTTGGGAGCAACTTAAATAAGTTATGTAAACTTTAACTGGAGAAGTAAAATACAAACAATGACCCTGGCCAATAGCAGCTGGGACATTGCTGTTCAGTATGTTATATAAATTTCTAACCTTTTCTTGACTATATAATGTACTGTATTGCCAAATACCAAGGAAATGTGTAAATACTCAACAGTTGCTTGTTGTGTATAGTCTACTCAATATGGTGAGTGAACATGACTTCTGTACTGTACACAGATGTCCTGACTTCATCAAACACTATGTAGCTACTGTAAGTAACTCACCCTTCTCCAGTGACTTGACGTGCTGGAGGTGAGGGTAATGCGAATGCGATGGATGGGAGCGCCGTCGCCCATCACACCCCCTTCATGTCACTTTTGTCGCACATGGCAGCCATTCTGAAAACATCACCGTTTAATGCAACTAAAAATCAGTAGCACTGTATGTATCCAGTATACATTGTGCAATAAGTGTACAAAGAAAAATCACAAGTATAGCTATGACAGAGAAATTATTGTTCTAGGCTAAATAATGAGCTTAAAGTGGCTATAGAACAAATTCACAGGACCCAAACATATATAAGATACAAACTAAAACATGACTAAGATAATGAGGTTAGGTTAGGTTTGTGTCTGTCACCTCAAACTTACTTTATCGTCATGGAGTCTTTGATCTAAGTTAGGCCTACCAGATGTTCTTGTAAAATTAATTGAGAGCTGGACACGGCATTAACCAGTCTTGATAAGATATTAAGGTAATATTATGGCCACAGTCTTTGAATTAATTTCCGAGTGTGATTTCAAAATACAGAATTTTTATGTTGGAAAAA